CTGAAATTTAAACATCATTTGGTTGGTTTTAAGTTAAAGTTAACTTTATGAAAAGAAATATGACTGTTTGTAAAAGGAAATGATTAAATTAGGTTTTAAATGGTTATTTATTTCACATGGGTTTGAATCAGATTTGGCCAGATGGTCATTTTACACCCAGATGGTGCATCTTACCCACTGACTCGACTCAGGTCAACTTACCCCTAACCCGGGGCAAACTGAGCCATGGGAACACTTTTTTATAAGAAGCCATATTTTTAGAACCCTTTGTCATAGATACATTCTGATCATTTAAAATGATAGGTGTTGCTTTCATTAGGATAGGATAGATAAGATAGATACTTTCTTTGTATTTCTGCGTCATTTTCCCTTGAGGACCACATAAATAAAAGATGGCTAATCTTAGCCCACTCTGCCCTATAAGTATTATACATTTATTTTAATATTTTACAGCATTAATCTATATTATATACAAATAAACAACTCATTTAGAACATTTCTATTATTTTTTAACTATTTATAGGCCTACTATTAGCCTAATATGGTTTTAATAAAATATGATGTGTTATAGATTACTAGTTTACTAGATTACTAGTATCAAGAAAAAAAGTGATTATAATGGGAAATATACTTAATTACAAGAATTAAAGTGTGACAAACTGCTAAATATTCTATATGATGATTTTGCTGCTGGCTTGCTGGTATCACACCGTAAATGCCTTTACGGTGTGATACGAAATTTGAAAAGGAAGAAAAAAAAAGTTTGGCAAAAGGCGGGATCAAACCCGGGTCGATCGCGTCAAAAAGCCAATGTAAAGCACTTATCCAACTGCACCACTGGAGCTGATGTTTTACAGTCACTTTTAACTAAATGTAAATATACACTCCGTATTCTTTATTCCATAGTAAGGGCAATTCATACAATACATTTAAACTGAGCTACTTTAATACCATCTCCGAACTTTCTACCACGACTCTGCTGTTCTTCGGCTGGTTCTTCCCTGTATACGTTGATTGACAGATCTCTCTTTCCAGTCAGCGGTGAGTAATCCCAAACTAATGGCGCTGTCTCAAACTATACCTACCTCTTCCGGTTTGTCTGGTTTGTCGTTGTGTTTTCTGACTTGTAAATTTGTTTTCGAATTTGTCATTGTGTTTTCTGACTTGTTATAATATTTTCTGAATTGCTGTTGTGCTTTCTGAATTGTTATTTTGTTTTTTAGACTTGCATTTGTGTTTGTAATTTGTTGTTTTGTTTTCAGAATTGTGACTTGCTTTGCACTTCTTGGCCACCGTACTTCTCACAATCAAAGCACATATGATCCATCACCCCGCTGTGTCTTTTCTGGTGATAATTGGTTTTTACTGTGACTGTATTGAAGTCAAAGCAAATTATTAAACTTAGCAGTAAGATATTGTTTATATCATCCCCTCTTTTTTTGTAAAGGCTCCATGCATGAAGTTGATTAATTAAATATTGTACTAATTATCTGTATTTAGAGCTATATTATAATATGTATATAAGGGATGCACCGATATCAATTTTAACACTAAGTCCGGTACCGATACTCATTTTTGGTACTTAATTGCCAATGCCAATACCTGTTATTTCATTGCATTTGAAAAAATAAAAATAAAAAATGGGTCCAGAAACCAAAAGAATATTAATCATGTTAGATGGCTTCATTTAGCAAATAGATAAGTCCACATGACGTTAGTTTGACAGCTTGGGCACAATATCCTTAACCACGCCCCTCCAGTCGTTATTTTGCTATCCTTAAGTAAGAGACAGAGAGGAGGAGTGCTAAAATAAAACCCTCCCTCTATTCAATATTGTTTTTCAGTTGGAAATACGTCACAATACTGAAATAATGTTAGCAGCAACTTCTGGTTCACGCAGACTTTAATTATGAGGTTAAAAGGTTAAAAGGTAACGTACAAGCTTTTGTTACTTTCACAGTTCCTTTTATTGCTCTATCGCAGGCATCCTCAAATCTGGCCCACGAGATCCACTTTCCTGCATAGTTTTGGCTGCGTCCGAAACCGCCTACTCAATGAGTAGGTACTTACTTAACGAGCGCTAAAAGAGTAGGTACTCTACAGCCAAACCTCGTTAAGTATGATCCAGGCATCATCCGCCGTGTTGACGTTATCATGTGATCTACGACGTTATAACAAGCGCAACAGATACGAGCGGCAGGTTTAATTGATCTCTCTGTAAATATTTTAATGTTTATGAAATTTCCTCATTTTGTGGTCTTGTTGAAGAAACAGCTGCCCTTTTATTGTGATTGTAGTATAACCAATACATTTGGGGTTGATTTAAATTTGTATATTTTTAACCCTACTAATATGACCCACAGTTTAATCCTTAAATATATTATTTATTACTAAAACCCAAAATCGTTATCTCTTGAATATGTTACTTTATTTTATGTGCAAAATTTTTCATCCATAAGTAAAACCGGCTTAAATCTCCTGTTTTCCTCTGTTTCTTGTTGAATTTCTCTTGTTTCGTTCCCTCCGACTTATAAACAACAACAAATGCAATATTTTGATGCATTGATTATATGAATATTATGATTATTCAAAGATATTTAACCTAGTCATTGTGCCTTTTTTTCTGTGCATATAATGTATGCAAACCCATTATATTTATGTTTTCTGCTGTTTGTCATTATTAAAGATACAACCATCTTTCCCTGAGCTTGTATGTAATAAGTTCTGCAGTATTAATAAAAAAAGAACAGAGGGACAGGTGCACTAACACCTCACAGCATCAGTTACTCCACAACCCTACCTAGTACGGTTTTCCTCGGCGTTTGCAATATTTGTAATATCTGCACAAAGAAAACGTCGATCAGCTGCTAGAAGATCTTGTCTTTGGAGAAGACATAAGTGTTAATTTTATACTTGAAAAATGTAAGTATTACTACTTCAAAATTAAGATTAACCCAGAATACATTGCTAGCCCACCCCAACACTTATGAACAATAATAATGATAAATGCTGACCAATAATTATATATAGCAAGACAAAGCAAAATGTAATTTGTTTTGTCATATGCCAGAGCTATGCATGAATACACACTAGACAAACGCAGCCAAGGTGAATACATCTCAATTTTTAGTCAAGTAATGAATGCACAAGTTAATGAAACCATTATATTTTATTTACTGACAACAGGAAACATGAATAAATGAGTAAAAGAATAAATAAAAGTAACCATGACAATAAATAAAGATCATAGTCACATGAAACAACGCTTTATTCAAACATATTGTTCTAAGAAAACATGCATTTACAGGCGGTGAACCCACATCCTACTGCATCTCAACATAGCGGAGACAGTTCTGCAGCTTTATTCTGATGAAGACCACGGTGTCCACCTTCACCGTCCATTATTGCTGCAGTCAGACTGAATCTGATCA